TATACATAAGTTAAGGAAACATAAAATATTTTTGACGAAAAATATATTTTGTATACATACCCAAATTGTAAAAATATATTCAGCCAATTGAATAATAAATTTGGTACTTGTGATGCAAATGACAGATATGCGAGAAAATTCATCGCATAGTTTGTATCTACACCAGTGTATTCTTTCGACAATTTGTAACTAACAAAATACTGTAAATATAATAGTTTCATATAAATAATATTATAAAATTTCAACTAACAATATTATAATATATTATAAATTATTGTGTCTTGGCTTACATCTTTAGCTGTTATAAACATATTCCATGGCATCAAGGCACCGATTCCATGAAGTATCAATATGAAAAATACTAAATTTAATCTAAAAGAAAAAAAAAATACAAAATATAAATTTACTTAAATCAATAATATTTGTATGACTATCATATACCAAGTGTTTCAGACTATTCGTATTATCCTTTTATCTTCGCAGAATAAGGTCTAATCGAAAAAGTGTTCAGATAAAAGTTATAGGATTTAAAAAGATCTATTTATTGATCTTATCAGTTTGACTTTAGGTGGCGTTGCCAAAATCACGTTAATTTTTTTTAATGGAACATTATTAGATACTGGCTATTAGATACTGGAATAAAAAGTTCCATTAAAAAAAATCAACATGATCTTGATCTGATCTTGACGATGCCATCTAAGATCAAATTGATAAGATCAATAAGTAGATTTTTTAAATTCTACACCTTTTATTTACATATTTACGATTGGACCTTATCCTGTTAAGATAAAAGGGTGGTATGGGTGATCTGAAACACCCGGAACATACAATTTCCTATATATAAGATGTTTGATAAGTACTAAATTTTTCGCACGGGGGCAGAATTGGACTAAATTGAGAAGAAAAGTCTTCTCTGCCATTTTGCAATTTTCGCAATAGTTAATAAGATATTAATTGCTGAAAATTACCAAAAATTGATTTTTCAATAATTTTTTACTCAAATACTATCAACTTTATAGAAAAACTGTAAGAGACCAAAATTGTTTATTTTCTTCTCATAAAGTTCTGAGAATTTTTTCAAATTTTTCTAATACCATACTTTCTCATGTTAGTAAAAATAAAAAAATGCAGTACTAAAAAGTTAATAAAAAATTCTTTAAATTTCATGAGAGGAAAATAAACAATTTTTGTCTCTTGCAGTTTTTCTGTAAAGTTGATAGCATGAATAAAAAATTATTGAAAATCAATTTTCGATAATTTTTAGTAATTAATATCTTGTTTACTATTGCGGAAAATGATAGAGGACTTTTCTTCTCAGGTTAGTTTTGCTCCTGTGCGAAAGATTTAGCGTTACTTATCAAACACCCTATATATATGTATTTATTATTCTATATTATTCTAATATTTCCTACATTACTGAAACACTATAAATTTTATATAAACAAATAATTTTATTAAACAGATATTAATAAATTTATAATTGTACCTATCTCTAGGAGGATTTAATTCGAGATCTGCTTGATCCATTGTAACACCTTTAAAATTCAATTCGTCGTCAGGTCTACCTGTGCCTTCCCATCCTGGTGAAAGACGTACTGGTTCTGAACCTTAAAATTAATTCGTTAAAAATTTGCTCAACATCTTACATAATGTATTATTTATAATATTAAACATTGTCAATGTTATTATATTAATTAAAACTTTGTATATAATATTATATTAACTTCTTTAAAAAATTTTTTTATTAACATTAAATTGAAAAATTTCTATTTGAATTAAATTCTTCTTTTTTAAACTTTTAAATCGAGAAATTAATTATCTAATATAATAATTTAATATAATAATCTTAAATAATTTTTTTCGAATTTAGAAAATTAATATTATCTTAAAAATAAAATAAATATATTAAGTTTAAAAAGATATTGCACATATATTTAATAAATTCTGACTTTTAACATTACAAAGAATTAAAAAGATAATTATAATAAAATAATTTGTTTAATATCTAAAGATGTTTGTGTAATAATATAATTATTAAAACTAAAGGCAAAGAAAGATCTTGTATAGCTAACACATTAAGATATTTAAAAAAAGAAAGAATGAAAAAGCTGATTACAACAAAGAGATAATTGTTGCGTTCCATTGTAACGGAATGTGGCAATCAATTGAGTCGTTAAAATCAATTGATGTAATTTGAGAGCATACACATATATGACATATACATACATGAAATATTAATAACAATTTGTATAGAGTAATAATTGAAATAATAAAAAGTTATATGCGTGATACAATATATGACTGTTAATTACCAACAAACAGAGGAAAAGTATTATAAGATATGCAAACAGGATCTATAAAAAAATATATTCTTTAAATTAGTACAACATTTTACAAAGCTAGAAATACTAATATAAAATATTATATTATATAATATATAATATATATAAACAAGAAAATACATATAAATAAACTTGTATAATGTATGCATATCAAATATTATTCTCATCAATAAATGAAGTAAATGTAACGTACAAGATAAAAAGATTTGATTACATAATACATTACATAAATATATAAAATTATATTCTTTTGTCAATTATATTTAAGGGAAAAATTGTCAAGTACCTTCTATAATCATTTTCCTTGCATTTAATTATTTAAATAGAATTTAGCAAGATAAATAACATATAAATAGCAAATAAATACTATATTATCGCTTAGCAGATTATAATTATTGATAATAATTTTTTACTGAATGCTGGAGATTAGAAACACTGTTTCAAGTCTTGCGCTTCTGACTGTGAGTGACCGCATGAAAGACTCAAATTCATTCAGCTGAATCAACATGTCACATCAGCAAAATAAATCTTTATACACAAGAAAATATGATTCTTTTAAAAGTTAGGAATGCAGGAAATTATTTGATATAGTTTAAATTATACAATAAATAATATATAACTGTGTGCGTAATTATATATATATATATATA